TATATAAATGAGTGGGTGGAGACAGTAGCAAACTAGAGAGCACAAAGCAACCACTCACAATTCCAGCTGTTTGTCACCAGAATTTGCTGAATTGATTGTTTTTCTCCTGGAGACCAAGAATCCTAATTTTCATGAGAGAGCTTCTATATTTTAACTGTTGGAATAAAAAAAATTTAACCTCCAAAACTATTTTGAAAAAGAGAGAAGTGGGAGGTCTCATCCTTCCTGATTTCAAAAGTTATTATAGAGCTACAGTAATCAAATCAGGGTGGTTCTGGCATAAAGACAGACACAATGAGCAATGTAATAGAACAAAGAACTCAGAAATAAACCCTTACATATAGTCAGATGATTTTCAACAAGGATTCCAAGGGAAAAAACCCCTCAAAAGGCCTGAGTTGGCCAACAAAACAAGTTTATCATGGTGTACAGTTTGAAGCCTTTGTCTTCCATCAGGGAATCTCAAATTCACTTGAGTGTGCATCAGGATAACCTAAAACGGGTTGATGGGATTCACCCCCAGATTTCTGAATCAGTAAGGTGGGGGTGAAGCCCAAGAATCTGCATTCCTAATAAGTTTCCAGGTGTGAGGCTACTGCTACAGATCTAACATGGGTCTACATTAGATGATACTGGAGACTACTTTCTTTATTTCTGTTACCTGTTTGTGATAAATTTTTGGTTTTGGAGTCTGTGAAAGTCTATGCCCTTAGCAGTGCATTGTGCCATGTCCCCTTGCTTCTCTGGCCAATAGTATGCTGTACCAGGGGTGCACAACCTTCTGGTGTCTCCGGGCCACACGGATTTGTCTTGGGCCACACACACTGAATATACAAACTAATGAAAACTGTTGAGCAAAAAAAAAAAAAAGTTTTTTTTTTTTTTTAAGTTTTAAGTAAATTGATGATTTCGTCTTAGGCTGCATTCATAGCCGTACTGGGTGGCATGCGGCCCATGGACTGCGGGTTGGACAACCCTGCGTGTACACAAAGGGCTAGACCTAATAGACCTGGCATGGAAACTGCCCAATTTTGCACATATATGGTGAATAATCCAATTAGAATAATTCCATCCAATTTTGAATGCAAGACACAGGAAGGCAGGTCAGGTAGAAGCAGAGGCTAAAAAAAGCTTAATTCTGATGGAACAACGAAACTAGTTAAGTCCCCAGAATTGCCTGTTTTTATCTCAAGCAGTATGAACCACATTGCACCACCATGAGGCCTGTGTGGCTGCTGAGGTGCTTCCTCACTTCCTGGTGTGACCTTAATGTAAACTTGCATTTCTCTGCTAACAGACAAGTCTCTCCTCCGTGTTTCCTGGAAGATCCACCCACCCTCTGTTTTGATAGCTCTGGTATCTTCATAACACTGAGTTTCTGCTTTCCTATGGAAGGAAACAATATTCCATTTTGATCAAGAAATGTGACTCCTTAAGGATGAGTTTCTATTAAGAAAAATTATGAACTGTGCCTTCATCCACGAGAGGAATTTCTCCATCTGTCAAAATGCCTTCTAGTGACTGCAATACATGACTTCGAGGGAACACCCTGGGATTGCCACAGAAATCTGGAAACGGCTCATCCCAGCATCTAGCTTGCCTCTTCCTTGACTGCCCCCAGCCATTTAGTGGGCAGCATTAAAAAAAAGTCCTAGGAGGTTTCCTTACCTCTAGCCTCAGCAGTCCTTTCTGTCCTGAAAAAGGATAAAGACTAGTTTTGAAAGGGGGCGGGGAAAATGCTGTGGACAAACAGGTACTGTCTACAGTGGGAAACTGGGCTTTACCAAAGGTAGTGAGTTCCTTACCAGGGGAGTGCCAAGAGGTTGCACTGCTGCCTAGAAATGGCCACAGAGGGGAGAGCTGCCCCAGGTCTCTCCCAACTCAGGACAGAGGCAGTGACCGGGGAGCAGCCCTCGGATAGACAGATGATGAGATAACTTCCAGGTGCCACGCTGGGCCATATCCCGCTGATGGACCGATCGGGGTGGGCGTTTACGATCCGGGCGTTGGGCGAGACAGCCAATCTTCTGAAAGGTACTGGTGACTCGTGGTTCTCCCCCGTTTGGTGGCGTCACTCCACAGCGCCGGAAGTGGTGCGGGCGCAGAGACGGACGCGACGTGGTCTACTCTTCGAGGTAAGGCAGTTCGGGCCTGCCTCCGGTGTTGGCTGTGTGGAAGTCGAGGCCTGGTTCGCTCCTGCCTGTGAGCGAGGCGCCTTGAATAAAGCCATCACGGCTTCTTCGTCGGCAGGCGCTGCTCCGGCCTCGGGCTGCAGGGCTGCAGGGCCCTCGGCTACCCACTTTCCCACCGCTCGGCCGAGTGTTGGCCGCGCTCACGTTGGACTCCGCCCCACTTGGCGTTTCTTCACCTGTGACCCTGACACCAGGACCTAGCTCGGTCGCGACACAAACAGAGGAAAGATTAGAGAGCGGGCACTGTCCAGCCCATGGAGGCGGCTCAGCCTGCCAGGAAGGACATTGTTTCTTTGAGAAACGCTTCCTGAAAGGAACTTGAGGGCCCTTCATAGCGTCCTCGAGAAGAAGCAAGCCTGCTCTTCCGCAGGCCAGGGATACAAAACAGGGATAGAATTTCCACTTGGAGTTAATGTGGCCCAGGTTTGCAGCCTTCTGTTGGACTTACGTTGGGGATCGTTAGAACACTCGGGACAGGAGTGTGCATGTGGGGAGACAACACGGGTCTGTACGTTTTCACCGTAGTTGCACAGTCTGCCCTTTAGCACCTGCTTGAATCCTACCTTTACTGTTAACGAGAGTGATAAGAGTTTGGAATGCTTACATTTTCCCGGACACTGATCTTTAATACTTCCTCGTTTAGTCCTTGTAGTGTAGAGAGTTATGAATATTGTTTTCCAGAGGAAGAAGTTAAGGCTTAGGTTAAATAACTGGTCTCAGGTCACACAGTGAGTAGGTGGTGGAGCCACAGTTTGAACTCAAGCATTTGGACTTCAGAGCCCTGGACGTTACCTGTTATTCTATATTGTTTATTCAGCTGTTCCTTAAGCTCCCATACACTTCACTTTGTTGTTATCTACTATTTATGGGGGAAATTGAAAGCATCGGATGTGCTTTTCTTCAAATTTCTGTCTCCTCTTTCCCTTTAACAAAGCCATCTAGGTTTACACCCACCTTTACCTTAAGATGAGCTGTATCCTCTGATCAAAGCAAATCTCCATCTGTGTTTCTGACCTTTGTTTTATACTCTCACCTATGAGACTTTGTTTTCATTTGTCTTTTCTGCCCCTGTCCCAGTCATGTATAAACGAGGTCAGATTTCTCAGATTTCTGGCCATCCCTCACCCCCCGCTCCCACCTGTAAGCCAGAAAGAAGAGAGGAAGTTCTTCGTGATCGTCTTCCATTAGCTGCCATCCAGCAACTCTTCCCCTTCTTATCCAAGCTGTTTTAAAGCATATTTTAAATTCTGTCTCCATTTATTCACCTCCCATTCCCTTCTGCAGTCTAGCTCTTAAACCTCTGAAATTTTACTTGAAGTTAACAGTAATTAATTCACAAACCAGATAGACATTTAAAAATCATTACTGGCCCTGGCTGGTGTAGCTCAGTGGATTGAGCACCGGCCTGTGAACTAAAGGATTGAGGTTCGATTCCCAGTCAGGGCACATGCCTGGGTTTCAGGCCAGTTCCCAGCAGGGGATGCACGAGAGGCAACCATACATTGATATTTCTCTCCCTCTCTCTTTCCCTTCCCCTCTAAAGATAAATAAATAAAATCTTAATAAAAATAAATAATTACTGGAGCCCTTTGCTGCTTTTGAAACTTTGATGCCTCTCACTTCCTTCTCTTTTGCTTTCCAGGATAATGCACCCAGCTGATTTGTTCAGTAAACATTTATTGTAATACATATGAATAAGACAAAGTACCTTTCCTTAAAGAGCCTAATTTTAGCTCCTTCTCCAGGTTCCTCTCACACCAGTCATTTCTCCTGTGGTTAGTCTTTATCCTCTCCTAAAATGTTGGGTGTTTCCAATGCTTGTGGCTGTGGCCCACTGTTCTTTTCATTCTGTACACACTGTTCAGTGAGCACATCACCTGGCTTGGTTTTAACTCCTGACATGCTCTCAAATAGGGATTGTCATCTAAGACCCCTTCACCCTCACCTCTGACTACCCTCCGGGATGGCTCTGTGTGAGTCCCACAGGCAGTTCAAATTCAGAGGCCCAAAACTGAACTCAGTATCTTCCCTGAACTTTATCACATTCATCACTAAATCCTGGCAATTTCACTCCCTAAATGTTTCTCAAATCTGTGCTGTCTACTTTGTCTCTACTATTGTCCTACTTTAGGCTCATCATCTCTTACCTGGAACATGGGTAAGAGATGTTCTAACTGTTTCTCTGTCTCTAGTTCTGTTCCCCACATATCTGTTCTCCACACTACCTACCTCCTCTCCTAAAAGATCTTTGAAAACATCTGTGTCAAAGTTTTGCTTAATAATCTTTAAAGAGCTCTCCGTTCTTTCATCTGATTTTTCTCATTCATTCAGCAAATGTTTATTGTTTACTCAATTGCAAAATCCATTGGAACTTTTAAAATTTGAGCTGCTCAGCCACTCACCCAGGGCTCTGCTTCATTTGGACCTTTTTACATCTCCAGCCTCTTCTCACACTTGAGACTGCAGCAACATTGAACTGCTTCTTCATATATACAGTGCTGTTTCTTTGTGTATTTGCCTTTGCTGTTCCTTTTTATTGGAATCTTCTCCTTGATTTCTTTCTCTGCTTTCTGCTTTTTACCTAATTAGGCTGCTCCCTCTTACCTAATTAACCTGGTTTATATTCAATATATAGGACTCATTTTTAGGCCTATCTCCTATAGGAAATTTTTCTTGACACCTCCTTTCTCCAACTCTGGGTTGGGTGCTCCGCCTTTGTGCTCCCACAAAATTCTTTTGAGGGCAAGTATGATGTATTATATTTGTATCATAAAATGCAAATAAGATGTATTATGTCTTTTTTCCTAGTACCAGAATGGCACAAGGAACATACTGGGCATGAAGTAATTTTTTTAAACCCTTGCCTGGGGATATGTTCATTGATTTGAGAGAGAGAGGAAGGGAGAGAGAAACATCGATCAGTTGCCTCTCCTATGCACCCCGACTGGGAATCAAACCCACAGCCTAGGTATGTACCCAGACTGGGGTTAAACCCTTATGGGACAATGCTTTAATGGACTGAGCCACCTGACCAGGGCATGGGCATGCTTTAACTTTGACAGAATGATCAAGTGAGTGAAGACAAAAGGTACTGGTATATGGTACAGTGATTAAGAACCTGTTCTTCGGCATTATTTCAAATTCTAGCTCTGGCACACACTGGCTATGTGATTTGAACACATTACTTATCTTCTCTAAGCCTTAAATTTTTCTTCCTTAGAATGAGAGTTGTGAAGATTAAATGAGATGATATAAATAAGACATTTAGCAAGTGCCTAGCACATAATAATGTGCTCGATAAAGGTATGCTGAGCACCAGGGGATTCAGAAGTGTAAGGCCAGACCTGACCCAGGGCAGTGATCTCCAGAAAGCCTTCCTCTGAGTTTTCTGGGCATGGATGCAGTCTGTATTCAAGGAGATTTTATTCTCATCTGGAGAGTAGAATTACACCCACATTTAATTTTTAGAGAATTGTGAAGGTAAATGGACCACACCCAATAACAAGATGTAGAGAAGACAGTTTAGTGGAAGCCTTAGGGAGGAGGTGGGACTTGAAAGTTGTGAAGGACTTAGGTATATAGGAGTGAGGAAAGCGTATAAACCAATAAAACCAGGGGATATTAAGGATTATTTATTTGGAAGACATGGTTCTGTACATTGTACCTGAGGGATATATGTGTGAATCTGGGGGTAGGGAGGAGAGAGAGAATGGGTAAATGGGACTAGTCCAATGAAAAAAGTGGGAGGGAAGTAAATAGCCTCCATGGGGTTAGAATATGAGGGTATAAACTTCAAGCCTGAGGGATTTGGGATTGATCAGGGTTGGGCAAGTTTCCAGGGCTGTGCTGGACATTATGGTAGCCATCAACCACATTTAACTAGCTATTTAACTTTCAGTTTAAAAGGAATCTAAGATACTCAGTTCCTCTGTTGTGCTAGCTACATTTCAGACTGTCACCTGTTGGCTATATTATTAGATGGCACAAGTTTAGAGCACTTTCATCACTGCAGAAAATTCCCCTGGACAGCACTGTTCCAGGTTATCAGATTGCTAACCTTGTGTGGTCTATCGGATCACTTGGGTTCCTTAAGAAATAATCACGGTTTTTTCCTTATCAGTCCTCACAACTCCGGAATGGAAAGTATGGAGCTGAAAAACAGAACTAGGACTTATCCACATAGATGGGAGGATGGGATTGTCCAAAGAGAGGAGCAAAGCACCGCACATAAGAGGGGGTGCCAGAGAAGGGAAGAGAGAAAGAAGGGAAGAGAACCTGGGCAGGTCATCTGGTCATTCACTTGCAAATAGTTATTATATTCTTGCTGTATGCCATTATTGTATTAAGTGCTGAGCTATATTGGTAAACAAGCATGGACTCCTGCTGTTAGTAGAGTTTGCAGTTTATGGAGAGTTTTTTTAAAAAATATTTTATTTACTTTTATTTTTAGAGAGAGGGGAAGGCGGGGAGAAACAGGGAGAGAAACATCAGTGTGTGGTTGCCTCTCAGGTGGTGCTCCCCCCTCCCACTGCCTCAGGCGCCTGGCCTGAAACCCAGACATGTGCCCTGACTGGGAGTCGAACTGGCAACCCTTTGGTTCCAAGTCCATGCTCAATCCACTGAGCTACACCAGCCAGGGCAAGTTTAAGGATTTTTATTATTGGATGGACTATATTGAAGATTCAGGAACACCTGTCCTTAAGTGCTCCCTGTATTCTAAAATGGTTCATTCCTAGAAGTTAGAATTAGAGGCTTAAACAAGCCAAGATATTATTTAAGGTTAGTTGCGTAAGTATTGTATAGTCACTGTTTCAGCTTCTCAGGGAGTGCTGAGTTGGAACATCATAACTTCAGAACTTTGGGGGAATGAAGCATGTGAGTATGTGTTTGTGTAGGACAGGAAGGGTAGTTCCTGTTACCCTACAACAAACAGCCATGCTCTCAGCTGTCCATTGGATTCTTTCCTGTCCCTGCTGTCAAACTGCTCTTGCCAGGATTCTTTTATTGTTGCAGTGAGTAGTCAGTCATCATCACATGACTTCTCTCCCTGCCTAATGAAGATATACTTCTCAGTGCATTACCTGCTTGTTCATCAGTTTCCAGCAAGAACAAACAGACGCCCTTCGGAACACATAGCTTTTAAAAGTGGGACTCGCCTGTAGCACCATCATCATTTGAAGCTCCAGATTAAGATTTTGGATTTATAGCTGACTCTACATGCTTTGGCATCAGCTCCTTCACAAACACCTGCTAAACTGCCTTTTAGACTTTACTGTGGGTCACATATTAACAGCCTGCTGACCAATTTTCTAAAAAAGATTTTATTTATTTATAGTAGAGAGAAGGGAAGGAAGGACAAAAGAGAATCATCGACATGCAAAAGATATATTGATTGGTTGCCTCTTGCACTTCTACAGCTGGGGACCTGGTCTGCAACCCAGGCATGTGTCCTGACTGGTAATTGAACCGGTGACCTATTAGTTCACAGGTTGGTGCTCAATCCACTGAGCCACATAAACCAGGGCCTAATATTTGACCCTAGATTTCTCCACTCCAGCCTGGCCTACACGCAGCTGTTGTTTCACCTTAGTGTGTAGCTCAGAACCTGGCAATTGTCTCTTAATGATTGTCAGATCTCAACTTTTCAGCTTAGTGTTCTTTCAAACCCTCCGCCTTTTTTGGTTACCCTTTGGGGCAACTCCTCTGGTTCAGCCAGCTAAGGTCTGCTTTCTACCCCTCACCAATGGCTTGTCATTGCTGAAATCTGTGCTGTCGCTTGTATTTTTAAAATTGGGATGTCCCCACCCACTCCTTTGCTTCCATTGGCTCCTGGCCTTTTCAACTGGGAGGTTTCAGAAACCTTTCCTCACTGATCCATTTCCTATGACTTGGCACCCCTGAGCACTCATATGTTCACTCTGCCTTGCATTATCCTGTCTTTGCAGATGGGAGTGAAACTGATTTTTAAAATATGGTTTCTTCTCTCTCCACTTTGGACACAAAGCTTGTGCATAGGGCCTGATAGATGTTGCCTTGCTTACAAGGGACATTTCTTAATGAGGGTATTAAAGGTTTGAGCATTGGTAAGTTTAGGGAGTCTAGAGAGGCATCCCAAGATTTAGTCCTGTTCCCGAATATGATTCCCTGTTCTACCTCCCTAGGTACTCTCTCCTCTCTCTGCCTCCCTTTCATATATTCAGTACATTCCTCTCCCTGAGCTTCATACCCATATATGCAGCTCAAACCTTGGATCTTTCATAGGCAACTTAAACTAATTGTGTTTTAATCTGAAATCATCCCTTCTTCACCTACCATGTATCCCCAAATTATGTCTCTTTGTTTATTTTTCCTTTTGGTTAATAAGTATTCCCAAGTTACTCCTTTGTCATTCCCCAAATACATTCAGTAATTAAGTCTACCTTCATGATTTCCTCTGGCTCTTCCTCACCATCTCCTTTGTTCTGCCTTTGTTCAGGCAGAATTTGTCTCTTTCTCTTCTGCTGATTGTCTACATGACCTTAATGATTGTTTTTCAAAAGAGCACCGCAATTCCACTATTGTGTAGATTGTATATTGCACACAGATGCTGTATTCATACTTTAGAAATTGTAGGTTTGTGTATTTCTTATGACAGTCTTCTGGCAGATGGCAGCAAAATGTTTCGTTTTAACATCAGTATGTGATGACAGCTAAGGAAGGGAAATCTTCTAATACACACAAAATGCCTGTGGACTGAAGAACATCTTCTGTTCTTATGTCTTAGTTTTCTGCCAGGCAAACTCCATTTTGTACTTAAAAAAAAACAGCACCACCCTGGCTGGCATAGCTCAGTGGATTGAGTGCGGGCCTGCGAACCAGAGTATCGAAGTTCGATTCCCAGTCAGGGCACATGCCTGGATTGCAGGCCAGTTCCCAGCAGGGGACGCATGAGAGGCAACCATACATTGATGTTTCTCTTCCACTCTTTCTCCTTCCCCTCTCTCGAAAAATAAATAAATAAAATATTAAAAACAAAACAAAACAAAACCAGCACCAACATAAATCTGTCTTATTAGTTAAGCCTTTTTTTATACTTTAAGAGTCAGTCATTCCTTTGGCCAGCCTAGTACCATTTTTGGTTACTTCCTTCTTAATAAATGCTTATCACATTATATTTTAAGAATTGGTATATGAGTCTCTTTGTCCCATTGTATGCCAGGCCCTACAAGGATAAGGTCAGTGTTTAATCATTCTTTGACCCTCAGCATGTAACCTAATGTCCACATAAAGATATCAGTAAGTATAACACATTTGATTGCTTGGCATGATTCAGGCACAGAGGTGAATACTCTCATTATGTTATTTAATCCTCATTAGTCCTTTCATTATCACATTTTACAGGTGGGGAAATGAAAACTAGGGAGGTGAAGTTACTTGTCTCCAGATGAGCAGCTTGTAAATGGCTTGTTGGGGGATGCTGGGGTGTGGCTCTGGAGGACTTGTGTGTTTTTCCAGCAGTTCTCTTCTGTTCTGTTTCGTCTCTCAGAGCAACAATGCGGGTGTGCTGGTTGGTGAGACAGGACAACCGGCACCAGCGGATCAAACTTCCACATTTGGAAGCAGTCACCATTGGGCGGAGCCCAGAGACCAAGATCACTGATAAGAAATGTTCTCGACAGCAAGGTAACTGGTCTTAAGAATGTGGAGAGTATTGTGTATGGTTCTTTAGAGTAGTGATAACCAAGGGTGCACATTTTTTGGATGCTCATGATAGAAGAAGAACTTTTTTCTGCTATAAACAGAACTCAGGAACTAAGCTCTTTTAGCCAACACCAGGGTCCCATTCACTCCCGATTCCAACCTCTGAAAGCAATTACTGCTTAGTGTTGAGAACAGGCAGGTCCTTCCTGTTGCTGTGGGTAGTGGGACTGATTCTGCACTGTGCTTTGCTCAGGGAGTGTCCGTGTTGGGCAGTGAGACTGTTGAATTCTGGGATCTGCAGGCTGAAACCATATCCGAGAAGTGATGAAATGGTTCCATCCTTTACATACTGCCTCATACAGAGGGTGGCATCTTATTGAGATGGCATTTAGCTCTTGAAATGTCATCATTGGGATTTAGTGAAATGAAAGTCCTTAGGAAAAAGCCTTACCATATACCTCCTTTTTTGCCTGTAAACTTCTGGACATGCTTACTGCTCCCAGGCCTCCCGCCTATGGTGTGTTCCCCACAGCAGGGTTTCCCAAGGCTTAGAGTCTGCAGTACTGACCATTGGTTTTGCCACATAAATTAATCTAAGCGGGGGGAAGAAAAAGTCATGCTTGACCTATCTAGGTCTGAGATACAGAAGCAGGTGCTGCTTCTTGCTCTCTGTCCCCCTTGTCACAATGTCAGCCTGTCCTCTGCCTGTCCTCCCTGGAGAGCAGCTATGGTGTCTCTTCTTTGCTCCCTGTCTCATTCCAGAAGCTTTGCTCACTTCTCTGAACATGTGTGCTTAATGTTACTTCTTCTCACACATACTCAGACTTTCTGTTTGAGTATTCCTCTTCCTAGAATATTCTCTCCATTCCTCCAACCCAAGGCCAGCTGAACTTCTGTTTTCTGGGAATGTATCATTTGCCCCTTTATCTGTTAAAGGCATCTGATAGTTTTATATGATAGTAGAAGCCTGATTTAATCCTGAGCCAAGAGCTTGTGAGAGAAGTGGGTCCCTTTTGGTGACTGTAGAGTGTTTGATCCCAGGTGGGCCAAGAACTCTGGAATAGGGAGACCTGTGGGGATTCAGTGAAGCTGCCTCATTAGGGATATTAGTAGTAGGTAAGGGAGTGTGGACACTGTTGGACATTTTATGGGAGGATTTGGAGCCCCAGCCACCTGTATGACAGGCAGTTTTGCTCATGGGCCTTTAAGGAATCCTCTGTCAGGTTGCCTCCTAGAGTGAGACTTCAATGTCTTATAGAGACAATAGGAGTAAGTGCCTGGTTCTTCATGGCATCTGGGTTTAACTTTTTTCAATCTCTTTCAGTACAGTTGAAAGCAGAGTGTAACAAAGGATACGTCAGGGTAAAGCAGGTATGTCTCTATATAACTTGGATTTCCATTTTATACTTGATGAGTCTCTCATGCTGTTGACTTTAGAGTGTCTGTGCCAGCCCATCACTCTTCTCTGCCATGTGTGGGAGTGATGGAGCAGTGGAAGTGATCATTAAACACAGTGCCTGGCACATAGTAAGTGGTTTACATAGCAGTGCCTGTATTTGTAATGGTGTTATTGTTATTATTATAATTATTTTATTATTATTTCCTAGGTAGGGGTCAATCCCACCAGCATTGACTCAGTCATAATTGGGAAGGACCAAGAGGTAAAGCTGCAGCCTGGCCAGGTTCTCCACATGGTGAATGAACTTTATCCATATATTGTAGAATTTGAGGAGGAGGCAAAGAGCCCTGGCCTGGAGACACACAGGAAGAGAAGGAGGTCAGGCAGCAGTGATTCTGTAAAAAGGGATGCTGCCCAGGAAGCTGAGCCCGGTACAGGACTGCAGCCGGGGAGTGACTCTAGCCAGTGCTTTGTGCCCCCAAACAAGGGAACAGATGCATCTACCAAAAAGGTGAGGATAGTGTGCCTGATAGCTGAAGAGATTAAAGGAGATATAATGACTGCTTAATTGTTTTATACACTTCAAAGCCCAGGCACACATGAGGGGTTATTAACCATGGCAAGGGTTATTAACCAAGATGGAGGAGTCACTTGTTGGTGTCACCAGTCAGTTGGTACTTTTCTCTTGAATTCCTTAAGTAAGCCACTTGAAGGTAGTGTGATAATGGCATTGTACTTTAACAATGAACTACTTAAATGGGTCAGTAATGTGTAAATCTGGAAGGTTAGCATTGAAACACTTTTCATAGATCATGTTATTTTTATCCTGATGTCAAAGTGGAAGCATAGTCCAGCTTAGATGGAGTGGGAGAGGACATGCAGCTCTGAACACAGAAAGAAAATGAGGACGACTTATGATTACAAAGGCAAAAGATTGCGATAAAGGGGATATAGTTTAATTCTTAAAAAATTAACCTTATTTAAGCCCTAGCTGGGTAGCTTGGTTGATTAGAACTGGAGACCCTTTGGTTTATAGGCTGGCACTCAATCCACTGAGCCACACCAGCCAGGGCTAAAATAAATCCTTAAAAATTACACCTTATTTTCAAGTATGGTTGGACTTTGCTGACATACAGTGTTAACTAATGCCATATTTAACTATTGGCATTTGAAATTTACATTACCCTTTTTGTTTTAGGAGTCATTGGGCCACTGGAGTCAAGGCTTGAAGATTTCTATGCAGGACCCCAAAATGCAGGTCAGAAAAAAATTTTTGCATTGAAATACATTTCATGTTTTAGATGACTAGAACCCTGGGTGATGTGGCTCAGTTGATTGAGCACTGGCCTGTGAACCAAAGGATTGCTGGTTTGATTCCCAGTCAGGGCACATGCTTGGATTTCAGGCCAGGTCCCCAGTAGGGGGCACGCAAGAGGCAACCACACATTGATGTTTCTCTCCCTCTCTTTCTCCCTTCCCCTCTGTCTAAAAATAAAATAAATACATAAATAAATCTTTAAAAAATGACCATTCTGCAGAGGTTGTAACTACAAATGAAATCAAAAGAGATCAGTCATTCTGCATGAGATTTTTTTAAAAATTTTTATTTTAAGAGGGAAAGGAAGGAAGGGAAAGAAACACTGATATGCAAGAGATAACATCAGTTGGTTGCATGCCCCCTACTGGGGACCTGGCTGACAACCCAGTCATGTGCCCTGACTGGGAATTGAACTGGTGACTCTTTAATTTCCAGGCTGGTGCTCAGTCCACGGAGCAACACCAGCCAGGGCTGAATGAAATTTGTTTCACTGGGCTATTTTGGGAGGACAGGTAGCTTTTCCCATTGCCAGTTAAGTGAGCACCTGAAATTCTGTATACTGTTAACAGGAGGTGAGTTAACCTTATTGTGGTTTCTTTCAAGAGAGCATTAGATGATATATTGTGACTGTACTTACAGGCCGCTCTGGGGTTAATAGTTCGGCATCACCCTGGGAGGGTTGTTTGAATTCTTCTTAAATTACATCCTGGGGTGACATGGGGCCAGATCTGAAAGTGCTTCTAGGAACACATGTGCAGATGGCATGTGGTCTGCTGGTAGGGTGGAGAAGGGGCATTCGAATTGATGCCTGCAGGGATTTCACATCAGATCCTTAGGAACTACTTTGTATTGTGCATCTTCTGTGTAGCGTAGTGATCCACTGAATCTGGGTTGCAATCCTAGATTTCCTACTTAGTGACTGTGACTTTGCACAAGACTCAACTTATCTGAGTCTCTGCACTTTCATCTGTCAAAATTGGGATACTAAAGCCTTTTGTAGATGATTGTGGTAGGGATTAAGTGAGTTAACAAATATGACATCATTTGGCACACAGAAGATGCATGGAAGATATCTGTTCCCTTTTCCTGTGCCCCTTTGCCAGGTTTACAAAGATGAGCAGGTGGTGGTGATTAAGGATAAATACCCCAAGGCTCGTCACCACTGGCTGGTCTTACCATGGGCCTCCATTTCCAGTCTGAAGGCTGTGACCAGGGAACACCTGGAGCTCCTCAAACACATGCATGCGGTTGGGGAAAAGGTGATTGCAGATACTGCTGAGTCCAGCAAACTCCGCTTTCGATTGGGCTACCATGCCATTCCCAGTATGAGGTAAGCCTGTGGGTAGTGCTGGTATGTCCTTATTTTGTCCTGGTGGGCAAATGGATTCAGCCTGAGTCTGCTTAGTGTGCCGATAGCCACGGAGGGGTAGAGTGGGATGTTTCCAAGGCAGGATGGCTGAAACTTCCACCCTTCTGTCTGACTTGCCTATGAGCCTTGAGTTCCTACTTCTGCTTGTAATTCAATCATACTTTTTTTGCTCCTCTCAAAGTATAAGCCTCTGAGGACCTAAGCTGTGAACTAGATGAAGCACCTTTATTACTCTCTGATGAAGAATTGTGGTCAGTGACTTTTCAGAAGCCTCCATAACCCCTAAGTGATTAAGGACCATTGCTCTGAAGAAGACAAATGTCACTGACTTCTGTCATGACAGCTTAGTAGATCTAAGATTTAAAACAAAATGACAAACCCTGGCTGGTGTAACTCAGTGGATTGAGTGCAGGCCTGCGAACCAGAGTATTGAAGTTCGATTCCCAGTCAGGGCACATGCCTGGGTTGTAGGCCAGTTCCCAGCAGGGGACTCATGAGAGGCAACCATACATTGATAATTCTTTCTCTCCTTCCCTTCCCCTCTAAAGATAAATAAATAAAATAAAAAAAAATTCTATAAAAAAAAACAAAATGAGAGAAAAGTGCAGAGTTTGCTTTCTTTTGGCTCACAGCCAGAAGGATTCAGAGACGAACGACTGTTTTCAGAGTGCGGGCAAGGCAGGTCTCCACAGTTGGTTACAGCCAAGCAGCAGGATAAGCAGACTAATTGGTGTTCAGAGTTTTTATCTTGGGTGGGGTTTTTTGGTGGTAAAATAAACATAACAAAATTGACCATTTTGACCATTTTCAAGTGTACAGTTTAGTGGCATTAAGTACATTTACATTATGCAACCATCACCACTGTCTATTTCTGGAACTTTCTCTTCCCACACAACCTTCCATTCCATCCTCCCGCCAGCCCCTCAAAACTATCATTCTACTTTCTGTCTCTATGAATTTGACTACTCTAGGTACTGCATATAAGTGGAATTATATAAAATCTGTCTTTTTGTGATTGGCTTATTTTACTTAATATAATTCTTCAAGGTTCATCTATGTTGTACCATGTATCATAATACCTTTTGGTTATTTTTTTTAAGCACCCAACAGTCTTCACATTTTATTTAGGTGGGTAATTAGGCTACTTAAACCTAATAAAATTTTCATGCCACATATTTTTCTCCTATTAATACTCTTTATTTTAAATTAAGCCACAACATACATTGAATAAAATACATAATAAGATTATAGTTTGGTCACATGTACAAATGGTCAAATTAGACAAATGTAGATACAATGTAACTATCACTGTGATCAAGATACAGAATAAGTACTTCTGTCATCTTACCCCAGAAAGGTCCTCTGTGTTCCTTCTGGTTAATCTTCCCCCAAGCATTGTTATGATTTCTGTCAGCACAGAAGAGTTTGGTCTGTTCTAGAACTTATAAATGGAATAATATAATGTATACTGTTTTTCATTCTGGCTTTCTTTAGTCAGCAGAATAATTTTGAGGTTCATGCATCATGCATATTGTTGCGTGTATCATAGACATACTTCATTTTTTTCTTGCGGATAAGTACCTAGGAATGGAATTGCTAGGTCATGGGGTGAATGTACGTTATACTTTATTAGAAAAATATTTTATATTGTTAAAACCTTCTTTAAAGATTTAGGGCAAAAGTCAGCCATAATGCTATTTATTTCCCTAATGCTGCAGAGCTTGTGACTAACAGAGCCCTTGACTGCACAGCCCTTTTCCCATAGTGACCATGGTGTGCATGCCTTCTTCATAGAATGAACGCTGTTGTGCTAAGGGAAATGCTGAAAGCAATGGCAGGTGTGGGTGGGAAACAAAATGAGCAGTGAGTAAAGTTGCCACTTAATGTCCTTTTATGATCACTCTTTATGATATAATTTTGAATAAATGTTATAGAAAGAAAAAGGTAACAAATAACTTTTTTAAGTTGTAACAGTAGTGTATTTTCAATGTCGAAAATCTAAAACAGAAAAGTATAAAGCAGAACAAAAATCTTCCATAACATCACCACAATTAAACTATAGACTAGACCTTATTTGAATTTCACCCATTTTTCTTACAATCTTTTTCTACTCTGGGATCCTATCCAGGATCCTGCATTGCAGTTATTTATTATCTCTCCTTAGTCTCCCTTAATCTGCGCCATTGCTTCCTTTCCTGGTTTTTATGACCTTGACACTTTTAATGAGCACTGGCTAATTATCTTATAGGCTGTCTCTCAGTTTGGGTTTGTCTGATGTTTTTTTCATCTTAGATTGAGGTTATGCTTTTTTCTTTCTTTCTTTTTTTTGTTGCAAAAATGCCACAGCAGTGATGTATCCTCAATGCATTGTATCAAGGAGTGAATGATGTTGGTATGGTTTATAACTCATGATGTTAACCTTGGTCACTTTGTTAAGTGATATCTGCCAGGTTCTCTACTCAAAGTTACTATTTTTTTCCTTTATAATTGATGAATATCATGAATATTTTGAGACTGCTACCATCTTGTTCCTCCTCAAACTTTAGCCCAGTAATTTTAGCATCTCTATTGGTGGATCTTGCCTGCGATAGTTATTGCTATGGAGTTTATCTAGTGGTGATTTTATGTTTTTCTCATTCCTTCTAATTTATTAATTGGAATTCTTCTATGTGGAAGAGCTGTCTCCCTACCCTCACCTGACCCTGATTTTGCAGTTTTTAAATTTTATTTTATTTTTAGACGGAGGGGAAGGGAGGGAGAAAGAGAGGGCGAGAGAAATATCAATATGTGATTGCCTCTCATGCGCCCCCTATGGGGGACCTGGCCTACAACACAGTCATGTGCCCTGGCTGGGATCAAACCGGCCACACATTGGTTCACAGGCCTGTGCTTAATCCACTGAGACACATCATCCAGGGCCCTATTTTGTATTTGTTCAGTTACTTATCAGTAAGGACTCATGGATATTTATTTTATTCTATAGGTTTTAGTTTGACCTATTTATTTATTTTGTTGCTCAAATGGTTCTAGCTGTGGTCATTGGATGCTCCTTTAGGTTGGTTCCTGCAGTACTTTGACATGCCCCCAACATTTTTTGAGCACTTCTTTATTTTCTGAAATAAGATATTCCAGGGTCATCTTATATTTTTCCTGATCTAGCCCTGGAATGAACCACATCTGTCAAGATCCCTAGTTCCTCTTATTGGAGACTGATATTTATAAACCAAGATTTGGGCACTAGGTTTCTGTAATGTTGATTGTAGGGTGTCCTTGCTCCTAGATTATTAAAGTATTATTGATTCTAGGAGTCAAAGCTATACAAAAAGGCATACTACTTGGTTTAACAAGTTGAAAAGAGAATTCTTGAGTTTCTTCCTCATATCTACTTTTCCTGTAAGCTTCTCCATTTCTGTAGGTGGCACCTCCTCAAACCCATATCCAATTCATTAGTAAGTCTTACTGGTTCCGTTCCAAAATGTATTAAAAATTGGATTGCTTCTTGTCATCTAGTAGTTCTAGTCTATAGCTCTAGTCTAAGACATCATTATTTCTGGCTTGAACTGCTAGGTCTCTCGGTATCCATCCTTATTCACTTTATAGTCTTTTTTCACCCAGCAGTCAGAGTCATTTTTTAAAAGTGTGGCTCAGATAGTAGTACTCCCCTGCTTAAAATCCTTCAATGGCTCCCCAGCACACACAGAATATAGTGCTAGCCCCTTGCTGACCTAGGAGACCTTTTTGATCTGTCTCCTACTTAATCTCTGCTCCATGGCTACAGTCATTCTGGCCATTTTACCTCCCTGTTCCTTGGCTACACTAAGCCCTTTCTCATCTCAGGGCCTTTGTGCTTGGCCCGCCTGCTCTCTGCAGCACTCTTTCCCCAGATCTTTGTTTGCTTGACTGCTTTATCAGCTGAAATCATTCCTGGGAGAGGCCTTTTCTGAACACCCCAAGCTAGTTAAAGAGGCAGCCTGTACCCCCTGGACACTCTATCATATTTCCTTGTGTTCTTATTTTCTTAGCAATGTTAATGATTTGAATTTGCCCTGTTTATGGATTTACTTATATTTTACTTGTCCCCCCTCATGAGAACATAATTTCTGAAAGGACAGAGGCATTTCTTATTTTGTCCACTATTAAATTCTCAGTGCTAGAACAGAGCTTGGCCCTTCTAGGTACTTGATGAGCATTAAATAGTCTTAAGTGAATGAATGAATTGAATTGAATGGAAACACTGTCAATAGTGTACATACCTATACTTGTACTGTTTGTCTTTTTAACTTAACTGTAGTCTTTAATGGATTTAATCATCAGTTTTTTCCCTTTCAACTAGCCATGTCCACCTTCATGTCATCAGCCAGGATTTTGATTCTCCTTGCCTTAAAAACAAAAAACACTGGAATTCTTTTAATACAGAATACTTCCTAGAATCACAAGGTAAACGGTATTCTTTGGTTTTTACACTTATTTCATTTTCTCGTGTTCTTATACTTGATTCTGCCGTTTCCCTAAATAATTACCAGGTCTCAAAACTCATGTATAACTTTGTGTTCCCTATAAAGAGAGCCTTAATGAGCCTTAATAGGGCATATAGTAGAATTGTCACTTTGTCGTGAGCAGCCTTTGGGGGACCTAGAAAGCTGTTATGTCAAGATCAAAAAGGTGTTTTATTATAACAACAGGGGACTTAAAAATTGTTCTGAGAATTATTGGACTTCATAGATATGAAAGCTCTAAATAGTTCTGTGTTTCCTCTGCCATCTGGTAGGCAGGAGCTTGGGACTACCTCGTGCCAGGAGTGGTTAATAAACAGGGGAAGGCTATGTATGCAGAAGGAAGCATTTCCCAGTGTGTATTCTGTAGAACTTCAGTATGCTGGCAAGTTAACAATGACCAGGGCCATTGACCAAGAGCCAACCATGAGTAAAACACTGTGATAAGCCTTTGACATAGTAACATAGATTGTTTAGAGTGTATCTCAAAGGAAAGTAATCATCTCCAAAATAGGTTGCCTAGATTTAGAATCGATCAAGCCCATTTTCCTAGCAATGAGTCTAACCTCAAATTTTTTCATATTTTTCATTGGAGTCAGATTTTTAAAATTTTATATTGGCTTTCCAGAGTAGCTGGGCTCTGAACTTTGTTCCTTGCTTGCAGCTGTGATCGCAATGGTACAAGAGGCTGGCAGAGTGACTGTCCGAGATGGGATGCCTGAGCTCTTGAAGCTGCCCCTGCGTTGTCATGAGTGCCAGCAGCTGCTGCCTTCCATTCCTCAGCTGAAAGAGCATCTCAGGAAGCACTGGCCAGAGTGATTCTGTGGAGCCTGAGCTTCTGCAGCAAGTATGACTGAATGTTTAGAGCAAACTCCTGGCCCCTGTTCTGGACTGCTTGTGAACTTTTACTTACTTCTTGAATTAAAAATATATAGTTTTTTGTTTTGTTTGTTTTTGTAAACAAAGCTTGTACTATTCCTGAGTGGCTACAGTGTGGGGTGACTTGAACTGGTTCAGGAATTAGGAATTTGGGTTTGTCATGAATATGTTCTCTGGTTGGTGAGGGTGGCTAGGATAGGCCCAATCGTATCTAGGACCCATGTCAGCTCTGACTAATATGAGCAAAACTATGTTCAAACTGACCTAATGCAGGAATGGAAGCAGAGGGTGGACTATGTATTTCTTCTCCTTAAAATTATCCTTCCTTCCTGGAGACATTCAGTAACCTTTCCTCAGAGCAGCCAGAGGGATCCCTTGTTTATCCTGAAAGGCACCGTTTAGTTTTGTTTTCTGAACTTTAATCAAAGAAAATGTTCAATTACAGTTTACATTCAATATTACCTTATATTAGTTTCAGGTATATAGTATAGTGGTTAGATAACCATGTACTTTGCAAAGTGTTTCCCCTAGTATTTTCAGTACCCAGTTGTCACCATACATAGTTATTATAATATTATCGATTATATTTTTTTCAAAGATTTTATGTATTTATTTTTAGAGAGAGGAGAAGGGAGGGAGAGATGGAGGGAAACATCAGTGTGTGGTTGCCTGTCACGTGTCCCCTACTGGGGACCTGGCCCACAACCCAGGGATGTGCCCTGACTGGGAATCCAACCTGTGACCCTTTTGTTTGCAGGCTGGTACTCAATCCACTGAGCCACACCAGCCAGGGCTGATTATATTTTCTATGCTATACTTGTTCTCTGATCTTATTTGATTCTATAATATACTTTCTCTTTTCCTCTGTCATGGGGAGACTTAATTTCTTCTGTTCTTTTCATGTTTTTCTATCCAAAACCACCCAAATTCTCCCTTCTCAGAAAGTCTGTCTCATAAGTTCTCTCTCACCCTGAGCAAACAGGCTTGGTGATGGGGTGGAGGGATGGGGTTTCCTTCTAATATCGGGGGTTCCTGGATGATGAGGAACTATGCAGCCTAATGTTCATCACAGTTCAGCTGTCAAGTCTCCTTGCTCTCCTGCTTGGATCTGTTGTCTGAAAATAAAGTTGATTTGTTTGGGGTGTCTCTCTCATGTAGTGGAAAACTGTTGGGAGTTTAGCGAACAGTCACAGGTCATTTCTGATACACGTAAAAGTAGTTGTTGAATGAAAAAGTTGCAGAGAACTGCACAGCTTCATTTTCCCCTCAGAAGGAATTTGGACAGAACAGTTGGATCAAATCAGCTTTTGGAACTAAAAGTAAGGGAAAGTCTAAAGTGTTTTGATTAAATTGTTTGATTAAATTGGGGATGTGACTCTTTTTGTTCTTGAATTTACTGTATTTTGCCATGTATGATGCACACTTTCCCCCCAGATTTTTGATACATATTTAATACGTAGTACTAATTACGTATTTATAGAAATGTTTTGACTTCTGCCAAGATGGAGGCGTAGGTGGAAACACTGTGCCTCCTTGCACAACCAGGTTTAAAGACAACAAAGTTTTAGGACTTCCGCCAAGATGGAGGTATAGATGGATGTGCCGTACCTTCTCACACAACCAAGTTTAGGGACAACTAAATATGAGCATCAGAAAACACAACCAGAACACGGAAAATTGAACTTTTTGGAAGTCCGGTAACAACAAATTCTTCAGCCCGACCGGTAAGGGGCGAAACCGGCATCTCGTGAGGGGTTGCACAGGACTCCGGTCGGACGGACCCAGGCGCGGAATCCAGAGCGCGAATCCAGACGCACGGGTTCCAAACCCAGGATTGGACCTAGTGAGCGACCGAGCAACCCACCGGGTGAGCGACTGCTGAGGAGACAGTGGGGAGGCGGGGCTGCGTGTTGACTGCGGTTGCCTATCTGTGGGCCAGCGGACAGGCGAGGGAGCGGGCGCTTGGACCGGGCCCAGCGGTCCCCGTGGCTTGCGGCAGTAGAGGGCGCCGCCATATCCCCGCTCTGACCACGCCCCCACATACAGCATCACAACCCAGCGACCTGGGAGTCCAACGCGCCGCTTCTCCAGCTTAAAGGGCCAGAACAGACCAAAAATGTCGCAGAAAGACCTCAGAGCCCCAGAGATAAATCTAAGCGATGAAGAAATAGCAAAACTCTCAGACGCACAGTTTAAAACACTGGTCATCAGGTTCCTAACAGATCTGGTTGATTATAGCCACAAATTAGAGAAACATATGAAGGCTAAACTAAGGGAAATGAATGGAATTCCACAGAAAACCCATAGAGATGAAAAGGAAACTGGGACTCAAATCAATGAAGTGGCCCAGAAGAAAGCAAATAATGGCCAAACAGAAAAGAGTCAAGGAGCAAGAATTCAAAGAAATGAGGAGAGTCTTAGGAACCTCCAGGACATCTTTAAACGCTCCAATATCCGAATTATAGGGGTACCAGAAGGGGGAAAGACACAACCACCAGTGGAAAAATTATTTGAACAAATAATAAAAGAAAATTTCCCCAATCTGGCAAAGGAAATAGACTTCCAAGAAATCCAAGAAGCTCAGAGAGTACCAAAAAAGTTGGACTCAAGAAGAAACACACCAAGGCATATCATAATTACATTAGCCAAAATTAAAATGAAGGAGAGAATCCTAGAAGCAGCAAGAGCTAAGGGGACAATCACCTACAAAGGAGTCCCCATCAGACTGTCAGCAGATTTCTCAAAAGAGACCTTACCACTTTACACCAGTCAGGATGGCTATCATAAACAAAGCAACAAACAACAAATGTTGGAGGGGTTGTGGGGAAAAGGGGTCCTTAGTTCACTGTTGGTGGGATTGCAGACTGGTACAACCATTATGGAAAACATTATGGAATTTTCTCAGAAAAATAAAAATCGACCTGCCTTTTGACCCAGCAATTCCACTGCTGGGATTATATCCTAAGAATCCTAAAACATCAATATCAAAGAACCTATGCACCTCAATGTTCATAGCAGCACAATTTACAATAGCCAAGAGTTGGAAGCAACCTAGGTGCCCATCAGTAAATGAATGGATCCAAAAATTGTGGTACATATACACAATGGAATTCTATGCTGCAGAGAGAAAGAAGGAGCTACTACCCTTTGCAACAACATGGATGGAACTGGAAAGCATTATGCTGAGTGAAATAAGCCAGGGGTTGAAAGACAAATACCATATGATCTCACCTTTAACAGGAAGCTAAACAACAAAACAAACAAACAAGCAGAAAAAAAAAAAAACAAAGACACTGAAATAGAGAACAAGGGATAGTGACCAGAGGGGAGTAGGAAGGGAAGTTAAGGGGAAAATGGGGGAGGGATTTGGAGGAACAAATAGGAAGGACACAGGGACGAGAACTAAGGGGGGTGGAAATGGGAGGGAGGTGGGGAGCAAGGGGCGGGGGAGGCTGGGATGGGAAAAATAGACAAAAAACTGTACTTGAAAAATAACTAAATAAAACAAATTAAAAAAAAATAAAGACAACAAAGTTTTAGTAACAAAAACGCAGCCAAAACACAGAAAATTGAACTATACAGAAGTCTGACAACAATGAACCGTTCAGCCAGACTGATAAGGGGCAGAGACAGCAGCAGAGCGGGGTTGGGCAGGAAAGATCCACCGGACTGACCCAGGTTGTGCAGGCAGCCATTGGCAGATCCCAGGTGCCAGGAAGCAATGGGCGGACCCAGGGAGGGCGCAAGGCAGCAGGCTGACTGTGGTCATACATTTGCGCACAGATAAACCAGTGAAGGAGCGAGCAGTGAGACAGACTGTGCAGGCCCCAGCCGCAGGGAGCAGCAGAGGGGATCGCCATTGCCCCTCTTTGACCCCGTCCCCACATACAGCATCACAACTCAGCGACTGAGTTGCTTGGCCCTGGTGAACACCTAGGGCTCCACTCCTCATACATAACAGGCTTGAACAGACTGAAACATGGCTCAAGAAATGTTTTTAACTCTTTTATTTTTACTTTTTAAAAGATTTTAGTTACTCATTTTTAGACAGAAGGGAAGAGAAGGAGAAAGAGAGGGAGAGAAGTATCAGTGTGTGGTTGCCTCTCGAGCGCCCTGTCATGTGTCCCCTACTGGGGACCTGGCCCACAACCCAGGGATGTGCCCTGACTGGGAACTGAACTGGCGAGCCTTTGGTTCATAGCCTGTGCTCAATCCACTGAGCTACACCAGTCAGGGCTGTTTTTTATTCTTTTATTTATGCTTACGTGTTAAACGTGTAACTCTAGAAAGCAATAACGATATCCACATGCACAATAGTACCCTGGAATATGATAATCGATTTTGTTGAATTTACCATGAACTTGCAATGAAAGCAGTTCCAGCCAATGCTTCAACAAAATGAAATGAAGAGTGAGTGTTATTATCCACAGAGTAAGATAGATGAAGCCGATTGTTATCCTCTTGTTAAGATAGGTGATGCCAACTTTATTATCATAGGGTGAACAGCGTGACCTTTCTCTTTGTACACTTTAGTTGGGAGAAATTATTGGAAAATGTCAAAACGGTTTTCATACACTGCAACCTTTAAACTAAAAGTTATTAAATATGCTAAAAAGCATGGCAACAGAGCTGCCGAGAGACTCTGGACCTTTTCCCACAGAGAGTGTGAGCAGGTTGTGGAGTCAACAGGAAGAAACGCTTCTTCAGATGCCAAGACAAAGAAGGCAATGCGAGGGACACCTCCAAAGCAGCTGGAGGTAGGGCAGGAGGTGCATACCTGTGTCCTGAAGCAGTGCCAAACTGGGATTTCTGTTTCGTCAGAGATGATACAAAGGCAAAAGGATTGCACTGGAAATCCTTTGCATTGATGCATTGATGATTTCTCAGGGACATCTAAATGGTGTTTTAACTTTATGAAGAGAGAAGGTTTGAGCATGTGGACATGAATGAAACTTGCCCCCAAACTTCCAGCAGCCTATGAGAATCAAGCTGTGGAATTTCATTCTTATGTTATCAGTCTTTCAAAGACTTAGAACTTTGAGCTGTCTCAAATCGCCAGTATGGTTTAGGTCCCACACACCTTTGATGTGCCATCCAACAGAACTGTGGATGTCAAAGGAGCTAAGACAGTGGCTGTTAAAACTAGTGGTCATGAGAAAATACATTTTACTCTTCTAGCCTGTTGTGCAGATGGGACAAAGCTACCACCTACGATCATCTTTAAAGAAAAATGTTTCTGGAAAAAAAAAAAAAAGATTCCAAGTGGAGTTATTGTCCATGTGCATGAAAAAGGATGGACAAATGAAGCAGGCATGAAAATCTGGTTTAACAAAGTCTGGTCATGGAGGCCTGGAAGATTATTTGAAAAACCAACTTTGCTTGTTTTTGATCACTTCAAAGTCTGTGTTACACAAAGTGCAAAAGCAATCACAGCAGACTTGAAAACCCAACTTGCTGTGATAGTTAGTGGGCTAGCCAGCCAACTGCAACCTCTCGATGTGTCAGTAAACAAGCCCTTTAAGACCCTAATGAAGAAAGAGGACATCATGGATGTAGTCAGCTGGTAATGATTTAACACCTATAGGAAGGACCAAGAAAGCATCCATCACCCAGGTTCATGATTGGATCCTAAGGTCATAGAATGGTGTCAAGAAGGAAGTGGTTGTGAAATTGTTTAAAAAATGCAACATCAGCAATGCTATGGATGGAACTGAGGACAGTGAAATTTACTGGGATGAGGAAAGTGATTCCTCAGAAGACACTAGTAATGTAGAAATTGAAGAAGGCCATACTTCTGATATGGACAGTGATGAAGAGTTCTTGGCTTGCTTTGATGTGTAAATATGGTAAATTTTCTACTGGTACATAAAGTTTCTTGAACCTAATATCTCTTCTTGTGTTTTGTAGTTACTTGTTACATAACATTTCTTGTACTATAATATATTAAAAAATAAGTGCCAGAATTCCTTTATGATACAAAAAACAACTTAATATAAATAAATAAAAATTGAATTAAAGAATTAAAGTGAAAGATTTTTTTTTCCTGAAAGTTTGGGCTAAAAGTGTGGGTGTGCATTATGCATGGCAAAATATGGTATGTATTTAAAAAACACCCTAAAAATAACTTCTCTCTGGAGAAAAATCTCAATTCATAGAGACCACATTTGACCTCACTGTCTTTCACAAGTAATTAAGATGCTACAGTGGTTTCTTGGTAGGTGTGGGTATAGTCATAATTAGTAGTAATTAATTATTGTAGCAGCTAACACACGTTCAGTCCTGTGTGTCTAACAGTATACTAAGCACTTTATTCAAATGATCTCATTTACTTTTCACTGTATGTAACTGTATGGTGTACGTACTATTGT